CATATGCACCATTCCTGAGAAGGAGTGTACATCGACTCTTCTTCAACGTTGTTAAACTTCTTCTACTATTCACGCAAGGAAATTCTCGTAGAAGCATATTCACTTCCTACCATTGAGCTCCGTCCCTTAGACACACCCACTTTTGCGTCTTTTTGTAAGGTATGGCCCTTCGCACAAATTCCCACATTTTAGATTGCTACGCAACGCCCCGGACAGTCCATAAAAGCCCCGGTTAGTTTCGTGGAAATTGAACTCGAAATCGAAATCAAAATTAGCTTTGAATTAGCAGGTTAGAGTCTCAACTATAGGTCGGTCTCACTGTCACTCAAAATAAACTTAAGCGTCCCAATGTGGGGAGGGTCAGCAAAATCATAACGCAAACCACAGCAACGAATGAAGTTGGTTCCAGCAAGAATGAAGGAATGGGACGAGAGCATTATTGGTGGGGGCTCCGTGTACAATTTCACCCGTGCGCGTGTGCGGCGCGGTTCCTTCGCGGCCCCGCTGCAGTAGGGCGGCGCGACGGGCCGCGGCCTGCGCCTCCGCCACTACGCTCCAATCACAACCAGTCGCTGGCAAATTGCCCAAACGTCGTACTGAATAACGACTGCATAGAAGCTCGTTTGCAATCGAATAGGGGCTATTTTGTCACTGTTTACACTCGTCCGGAACAACCGGCTTTCCGCACTGTCTTCTTTCCTTTTGTATACTCTATTAATAACTCATATTACTGCTAGAGCTCACTAATTAGCAGCTGCTCCCAATTAAAACAAGGTGACTTGTTTTGGTCTAGTCTCTCTTTGCATTGAAGAAACAACGCTTTTGTGAAGCGGTTACTTTAGGAGTTTTTTTTCGGCAGTTCAGGCGATTGCTTACGATTTTCTTCAAGTTTTTTTTCAATGTATATTCGCTGCGTTTTCATCCCAAAATATACATGTCTATCCCAAATGGGTGAACGTGTTCAATCGGTCTAATCCTCCCGGTCACTGACTGGACAACACCGAAATTAGCAGATTACGTTAGTGTCATTCTGACTTTGTTTCATTTTCTTCCCATTCAAAGGTAAAACCAGCTCAAGGTGGCATTGCTCAGGGACAATTCATGATTGCTGAGCTTTCTACCTTTCAACTGGAACTACCAAGAGCTTGTATTGGTACCTTTTCCCTTTCTCCCTTCAACTCGACCTGATCATTCTCGAAACTTAGATGTTGTTTGTTCAACTCTCGAATCAGACCTACCTACCTACATCTGCACCAGACTAATCTGTTCGGCGTTGCGTTGTGTCAGAAGAAAAATTCGCGCTCGCAGCCCTTCGGAAGCACAGAGAATACAAGAAGAGTTTGAAATGCAAGGAAACAGTACGAAATCTGAGCAACCAATGAGCATTCGAACTTTGGCGCCATCAATTCGGAGAGCGCCTTTTGGCTCTCAGCTCAAAATACTTGTCTGCTTTGTTTCAAAGTGTGACTAATGTCTCAACAACCTGTTTACGTTTATTCGCCAAATAGCCCTCTT